AGAAAAGAACAGATTTGAATAACCTCTCTATATATAGTCTATACAAATGTGACCCTGGAAGAATGTTGCTTTGTTTGATCAACTGTGACATAAGTCTTTATTTTAGATTTCTCAGTGTACACCTGCCGATTTGCTTTGTCACTGCACAACGTCTTCCTCGCCCACATTCAGCATCGCTTGTTCTGCATATAACATCTAAATAGCAGAAACTGTTACATTTTGTTACTTTGATAACAATCTCAATCATTTGTGGTATATAGAAACAACTCTACATTACCATTATATTGTTTATATTCAGTAGATGTAACATATAACAATCAGAATGATTGCAAAGAAAGTCTTTAACCTCTTACTGTCAGCCCTTTAAAGTTACTTAACTACGGAAGCTGGGAATGGGCTCCCAATCACGTGATTGTCGTGACAGCCTATCACAGTGATCACATAATCAGGAACCGCTCCCTGGCTTCTGACTGTAAACAGTGACTGGGAGCTGCTGGTGAAAGCTCAGTCACGCTGATAGGACTGTTCAGTAAATGTGTTTCCATCACCGAACAGTGGGAGCATTTATGTGGCTTCAAAACCTACCTTTTTGCAGACGCACATACTTGTTCAGGATGGTGTTAATACTAGGGCTGCCACCAACTAATCAAATAATCGATAATAATCGAATATAAGAATAGTTGTCAACTATTCTCATTATCGATTAGTTGGTTGGATTACCTAGCTCTCTGCTCCATGCTGGGAGGAGGGCACAGCAAGCAGTGGGTGAGTGCAATTGCCACCCTGCCATTGGCTATTGCAATATGAAATGGCCAATAGCAGGCTGGCTATTGCACCAGCCCACTACCTGCTGCATTTACATTCAGCTGCCATCTGCAGAATCTTGCCACTGGCAGCCATAATTTCCTGGCTGAAGCTATTCAAGCGCCATGTGCTTACAATACAATTATTTAAAAAATTATAAAAGGTGGGAAAAAAGTCATTTTCAGGTTCAGCCTGACAAATTCTGCTGTGGGAGGTGCGTTGCAGTGCCATTCATTTCAATGGCACCCCAAACGCGCCTCCCACCCACAGTGTGATCGCCCACACTGGAACGCACGGTACCGCAATGCCGTGCATTCCAGTGCAGTGCGAATGCATAAAATTGTGCATGCAGTTTTATTCTGAAGTAAACTTTGTGGGGGGGAATTTAATAAAACTGGAGCAGACAAAATCTGGAGCAGCTGCCCATGGCAACCAATCAGCTTCTCTCTTCAGTCTGTTCCGTTAAGATTTGAAAATGAAAGAGAGGAGCTGATTGGTTGCCGTGGGCAGCTGCTCCAGATTTTGTCTGCTCCAGTTTTGATCAATTCCCCTCTATGTGTGTAACACTGCATTTGTATATTTTATTTTAAATTAAGGATGGTATTTAGTTAGTTTTTTTAATCCGATTAATCAAAAAAAATAATTGTCAAAATAATCGATTATGAAAATAATCATTAGTTGCAGCCCTAGTTAATACTAGTTTTTTTTTTCTTTATAGTACATGGGACATCGCTAATCCCATACATAAATGATTAAACAGAATAATATTATGAACTTTAAATTCTCAAATACATATGCTAGAGATTGAAACCACCGCACAATTTCTTTTGTCTATTTCGATAACCTAATGGTCAGATTGCTGTGCTTTTTGGACCCTCTGTGTTGCCAGGGAAATGCACGCCCTAAAGTGGGCTGAGGTACTGGGTCTAAGGACTGCCCAATGTTCACCACAGCACCCAGCAAGTGAAAAGGGACTTTGCTATGGATGGCTCCTAGGTTGCAGTCCTAGGTTACACTCAAAACCGATAACATCTCAAAGCAGGCAGGAACAAACTCAGCAGACAAGGTCAAAGTTCAACAGGCAAAGGGTCAGAGCAGGCGGATAACAAGGATCATTGAGGTCATAAACAGGTATCACAACTTGAACAGGATGCAGGAGCTCGGTAACAGATATTCAGAATGGTCTTTGCTCAGGCAACTCTCAAGTGCACTAAGGCGGTTTAAATATCTTTCCCAGACATAACCTCAGAGGAATTGTCCAGTAGGACCTCTCGCTAGGAACCAGTAGAGGGAGAGTGAGCACGTCTAGACAGGCGGGGGCGTAGCAGGACAGGTTTCCGGGGACATCCACTCTTCTTGTTGGATTTTTCATTCATATTCCATTATGGATAAAGAAGTAGGAAAACAAATATTGTGTTGAAACAATTAACCCTCCAAACTGAGCAGAAACTTTCATGGGGAGCCCCAAGATATACAAGAAGCCCACAGGTTACTTAGCCTCTCTTACTTCCTGCTGTGTCTCTAGGACAGGGAGTAAGGGAAATCTTCCCAACAGGACACAAAAAAACAGGCAGGGGTCTTAACCATTCCTTACCCTTTCCAAAACTAACTAAATACATACACTTTAAGAGACCAGTTCTGGATGGACTCACCACATAATTGCAACTCCCTATTGACTATTGCAACTCCCTCTTCATTGGCCTACCTCTACACAGGCTACCCCCCCCCCCCCCTCCTTCAGTCTATCATGAATGCTGCTGCTAGACTCATTCACCTCACCAACAGCTCAGTGTGTGCAACCCCTCTCTGCCGATCCCTGCAACGGCTTCCATCCTCTACCCCCCTCTGCTCTTCCAAAGACCTCCTGCTCTCTTGCTCCCTAGTCAACTCCTCCCATGCTCGCCTCCAGGACTTCTCTAGAGTCTCGCCCATCCTCTGGAACTCCTTACCTCTATTTGTCCGTCTATCTCCCACTCTGACTGCCTTTAGGCGATCCCTAAAGCACGCATTGGCCGTCTTTGTCGTGGGCAAGGACGCACTGCACATTCGTGGTGCGTACCCATTGCCACAACCAAGATGGCAGCCGACAATAAACCTCAATGCCGGGGGCCATTTTGGTGGGTTGGTAGCGGGGACGCACTGAGCATGCACAAGATGGCCGCTGGCTATGAGGTTTATTGTCGGTGTCGGTGGCCATCTTTTTGGTGGTAAACAGCTCCAGAAGATGGGCTTGTCTTCTGGCGTTGTGTCCTTACACTTGCCGTACAGACACTTGCGCATTGGCTGTATGGCCAGAGTACGGACACGGCAATAGACAAGCATCTGGGCGCCTTTTAAAAACATTTTTTGCCTTTCTATATCGCAAAAAAATTTTACTTTAAAAGTTAAAAGGCTGGCAGTAGGTGCCAGTACTGTGTACTAGTGCCTTCCACCAGAAAAAAAAAGCCCTGCATATTTATTTCATTAGCTAAACAAACATTTTTATTTTACTTACCGTATATACTCGAGTATAAGCCGTCCCGAATATAAGCCGAGGTACCTAATTTTACCACAAAAAACTGGGAAAAAGTATTGACCCGAATATAAGCCGAGGGTGGGAAATGAGGCAGCTACTGGTAGATAGATACCAATAAAATTACATTAATATTTATTTAAAAGAAAAATAACCTAGCTCTGTAAGTGGAAAAGGGGGTACAGGGCTACATATCATGTACTACGGATCATTTAACCCATTCATAT